TATGTTTTCTTGAGGGACATTTCAGAAATGGTTTACCAGTATGAATCTGATGTGGATTATGAAAAGAGGGAAAACATTTTGATCACAAATGCTTCTGAAAACATCCCACTGCAATACAGAATAAAACAACAGACAATATTGCAAGTGCTCTCCTCAGTCAGAAAATGTACTGTGTTCTCCGGCATATCGACAAAATGTTAGTCACAACCTTAACCTACATGTAGATATTAGTGTAAGAAATGTGAACTCTTTCAGAAATGACAACAAATATAGAAGGGAGGGCCAGTTTCAACAATGGTGTTTGGAATTAAAAGTTAATTCAGTGGTTCGCAAACATGCCCTTTCCCAACATCTTTTATGGTCATTTCTAAAGGTCTGCATGCATATGGGAGCCCCGATCACACTTTGCGCTAAATTCCAGAAGGCAGCGATCACGATTTAATCTTCATTTGTGCAGGCGGTTTGCTTAAAACGTTGACGTAGATTACATCTAACGGTAAATCTGAGTTTTTAGACCTCAAATTATGCAAAATTCAAAAGGCAAGGCGCAAAATTCTGCAAAGCTAGAGCCCTGTCTAACGCTTCAGTTGTACATAGGCTCCATTTTTTTACGTTTAAACGGTAAATAGAACGACCAGGCTTCATGTTATGCAAATCTAAAAGTAAAACGAGTGATTACGCATTGCGGCATGCAGACCTCATTTTGAAAGAGTTCTATAAATAAAAGGAAACTCACAGTCAAGTCCGATGTTCTCTTGTCTAGTAGCTGCATGGCGACAGGTCCCTCAGAAACACAGGCAGATCCTCCAAGAATACGAACAGATACACAGGTCCCACATGTACAAGAATACGCACAGGTACACTGGATAGCTGACAGGTCCCACAGCACACACAGGAGCATGGTCAGGTCCCACATGGACAAGTTTACAGCATCAGATTCCCAAAGCTAGGGTGGAAAAGAAATACACATTCAGAAAAATCATAGGCAAAAGTCAATACAAAAGGCTGGTTTAATATCTAATGAATTTTGAAACTGCATTGCATTAATTGATACTGACAGATGGAAAAGCTGTAACAACTAGGAAGAAAAGGACTTTCCTAAACTGCTAGGTGGGAAACATGCACAGCATTTTTGAGTTGATTCAAAACCAGAGGTTTTTTTTTTTTTTTTGCAAATCAGAAAGGGTGAAGAGGCAAATCCGAGAACCAACAAATTAAACTGGTGTGGCCTAATGGGAATCAAAAATTGTAGGACAATGAAATAAGGAATGACTAAAACGTCTTATAAACCTCCTCTCCTTTCTCTTACTGTCTATTAGAAACATGTACTAAGATAGCAACCTTGATCAGAATGCAGTTCTATCTATATTAACCAGGTTGTGCTACTAGTGTTACACCACTGCACACTGGCAGAGGAAGGTGTTATTTCCCAAAAGGTGTAATATTAATAACTTCAGCAAGTAAAAAATGCATACCGTATTAAACTACTTCTTTGTGCACACTTCGGTGCAAAGGCTTTGAGTTTTAGGCTTGAAATATTAGTTTTTTTCACGTGCAAATGTGCAATATAGTGGCAAAACTTTTACACACATGGCAAAATTCCAAAAGCAAATATCTATTTCTCCGGAACTAAATAATAAAACATAGTATAGTACTGTGTCAATTCTATCGGATCACACAACAACATAAATTGTACAAAAAATATTATCAAGAGGACTACGTTTACTATAAACGTATAAGTGAAATAGTTGGAGACAGCACAACTTTGCTTGTTTATTATTATGCAAATCAGTCTAGCTCAACGTGCAGCAATGTGCATCCCCCACCCACCCCCCAATTTGCCACGCCGCATAAGAAACTCTTACTCGGTCATATTTCTGTTTTTGCTCCGTCTTTCCACAGAAATTCCCTCATAATATATTCCCAAGAATACGGCGGACAAAGTTAGACACTACCCACCTCCTAAAACAGACGTTTGTCGTCTTCTAGGGACGAAATTCTCAGACGTTCTTCCAGCCCGACGTGTCCAGTCGCCATCTTGCTAGAGTTCAGACTTCGCGCGTTCGCATGGCCCCATGGGTAATTCCCACCTGTTGCTAATAGCTGATTAACATAATGTGATTATTCCTCATCTCCAAGCAGATCATATGGTGGCAAGGCAGTATTCATTAGCCAGAGGAGTGTCCATTAGCCTCGGTGGCCGTGCAAACTCCACTGGCTAATGGATACTGTCTTGCCAGTGACCAGTGCTTAGGAATTATTTCTGTCAATGAAACTCTGCTGACCAAACTTTGATTTTGGAGAAGTGTCCACAAGTTTTGTTTTCTTTCATCTGTCTTAAAGCAGAGGCGCATATTAAGTTATTGTTACTAAAGAGAGTCCCTAGCAAAGATTGTTATTTTCTCTGTAAAGACGTCTGTTAGCTGGCCCAACACTTGGGTTCAAAAGAGACCCCGTACGGCTAGATGAGGTACTGCAATAAAGTTTTTTCACAAAGTAGTAGGTTTTTTGATTTGATTTGATTTATTTTTGCAGTCGATGTCTGTCACTATCAAACCAAAATCCTCGTCTCAGGAACAAGGGAGTTTAAAAAAACGTTACCCCTAGTGAGTATAATAATTTTCCTCAAAGTTCATAGACAGTCCCCTTGGGAATTGAGACTCTCTCAAGCAGGCTCTCCGCCCCTATACTGAAAGCTTGTACCTACCAATATCAAATTGCCAGGTATTCAAAGACATAACTAGTTAGGGACTAAACTTGGCAGGGATTGGGTAAAAGAATTGGCCTTCTGACTTGCTATGTGTTCAATCCACTGGATGGGAAGCCTGTTCGAACCGGAACGGGCAAATGTAGAAAAAACGCAACATGAAGCACAGGCGTAGACTGAGTAAAGGTATAACGTTATTGTTCATGCTGTCAATGGTCACTGAGAGCTAGAATTATACGTACACACCTGATATGGCGATTGCACCTAAACAGGCAGTAGCACGTCAGACCCCACAGCAGCAGTGATGTTCCGGTCATCGACAGGTTTCCCATTTTGACTTCTGCTGTACCAGTTCTTTGTAGTAAACTTCTTTATGAACTGTTGAAAGGTGCTGGCTCACGAACTTGGCGTACTTGAGGTACAGCCTGATTCTGTCAGCAACTAATATTAAAATCTGGTATTTCATTTGTAGCACGAACTCTCGTTATTACCATATTACCAAATAAGGTAACCTCTCCCTTAGAACTTGTATGAGAGAAGTCATCAAATATTAGTTTGTTTTTCTCCATCAGATGTTTTCTGACGTGTATTTTCTGAATTATTCAATGACTGGGTCTCTGTGATGGTCTGTACCTGTCTCGGAATGTCACAGTCTAGTAAACAACATATTTTTGTGTCCACTGAAAGCTGTACGAGACAGCAAAATCACCGGTAAAAGAGGAAAACTTTCAAATCACAATCTATTGTAAGAGACAGTTAAAAATCTATTTTAATTAGTATATTACAATGATAACGTTAAAATGTTGTGTTATAAGAGTAATAATGACATAGATGTGTTGAAGTTTATTGCTGTGTGATACAGTTGGAAAGTTAAAGGTAGATGGTTTCTGGGCTGACTTGCAGGTGTATCGTGTCTCACAAGGGGTCACTGCTGCACTGCCCCAAATGTAGAAAATTTCACCAAATGTAACATAGTGAACAAGAACACAAACCAACATGCTCTACTATTTTATTCTTCCAGGAAAAAATTCACAGTTGAATCCAGGTTCGTAATACTTACACAGTGTGGTTGAGTTAAATTTTCCTCCCTAATTATTGTTTTATACTGGATCAGCAAGTGGTTTTCGATAGAGATCATTTAGCTTTAGCTCAAGTATACAGTAACTTAATGAGTCTTATGTAGCACAAAATAAATCAAACATCTGAATTGAAGTGTATATTAATTAAGATACTTAAGCTTACTGAAGCTTCTGTCAATTGGTTTAAAGAGCTGTGACTTCGAGTAGATTTTACAGTATCTCAATTTACATTATTAGTTACACTGATTGTGTTTAGACCCAATCTTAGTCACTGATGATATGTTATCTGAAATGATGGAGAATGTATCCAGTTGTTGCTTGATTTTTTTGTGTTACGTAATACTCTACATTGATGACTATACCTCCAACAGTGACTTTGTATACAGCGATTGTTTGATTAAACAGTGAGCAATTAAGACATACTCTGGAGTATTTTAAATTCCTGATACTTAAGGTATCTTGAAATGTGATGGAACTAAAACATATCACTAAAGAGACACATAAACAAAGCATATAATCTACGCTTAAAGGAGCATTGTGTAACATTTATGCACCAAAAAATGTAATATTTTAATTTGAAAAATTGAGGGACTGTAATTTACTTCCACTTTTTAACAAACTTTTGTGATCATCTCACATTTGTAACATTTATGGTTGGCCCTAAAATAGCCCACATGAGGCAAACTCAGTTTGTGGTGCCACCAAAAACTACCAGAATGTAAACAAACATGACTGACAGCTGTGTTTCCAGCTTTTAAACACGCTCCTATTCCTAAGGCGTCATATTTTGACACCACCACTTCCTGAATGGCAATTGCTATGGGGTGGGGTTGATTCAACTTGCTTTGTAAAGAAACGGCCAGAAAAAAAACTTTTTTGTATCTCCTTAATGCTACATAATGCAGGTTTTAAGCCCAGAGAAATACTGATTATTACTTTGTACTAGGTAATTGTCTAGATTTCCATACTCTACTTCTCTATGCACTTATTCTTTCTCTGGCCCTACAACATGCGTACGAGCCTTTAAAAATACAGATAATGACCCTACTTTTAAAAAGATGAGATCTGTGCTTTAGTGCTTTGTCATCATTATGATTATGAGATATGACATCTAAACAGATCATTTTTCTGATATCCGCAAATGCTTACTGCTCTCCCTTGTAGGGATTTCCAAACGCCCTTCTGATTCTTACAGCCAAGACCTGATTGTATGACTAGAAAGCCAGGCGATACAGAATCTGACTGCCCAGTGCAGCGGTGACCATCCAAATCATGGCCTGGTCCTTCGACCCATGGTTCTCGCCCTGGAACGCTCCGGCTAGACATAAAAATGTGTATACATTCAGATATATTTTGCTTAGTATAGAGTTTAAATGAGCCGAAGCTAGAGCAAAGCATATCAGGATTGATATGTGAGAATGTTGCAAAATCCCATGCATAGTTGGTGGAAAATGTGTTCACAAACATTTCATGATACTAAGCTCTTGTTTGTGCTTGTTCTAATCATCATAGCTAATCACTTGGGCTTGATCTAATAATAAGAGGACAATAAGATTCCACCCTACAGAAGTACTGAATGAACTGTTAATCTTTTATTATGTGTTAATATATTTATGTGTTATTAGATTTCATCCACTTGACTGATCTTAATACCTTTTATAAAGTCTGACACTAATTCAGTCTGCTGACTGCTGTGTCAGATTGTGTTAACTTTCTTTCAATATAAACCAATCATGAAGAGAGAATGTAAGACTAAGTGTCAGAAAGTCATCCGCTTTCTTACCTCGTTGGTCATCGGGCGATCCTTGACCACTTGTCGGCTGGGCGGTCAGTGGTTCTTGGCCGCCTGTGGGCTCCCCGGTCGCTTCTTGACCCGCGGCGGGAGCTTGCAGACCGACGCTCGGCGCGGTAGGAGCGGACGCGCCGTCCACCTTGCCGCACCCCACCTCGTCCTGCGCTCCCACACAGTCCGGGTAGCCGTCACAGATCTGGTGCGGCGGCACGCAGATCGGGTCAGCGTACCCGGGCAGGTCGCAGGTCACCGTCAGGCAATCATCTGTTGTCTCCTCGTCCCCTAACCCACGTCCGATGACGCTGCAGTCCTGTTCGTCCTCCCCTCCACGACAGTCTACATCATCGTCGCAGCTGAACGCGTCAGGAACGCATGACGCGTTACCGTGGACGGACGAACAGCTGAGGCTACAGGAGCCCCACCTGAGCCCCAGAGCGAATTCAACTGCAGCAACAGATTTAGGTTCATGACAATTTATTTACTAGTAAGTCCTTTTCCTAGAATTGTCCGAGCCAATATATATATATATATGTCGTATGTACATTAATGTTAATTGCAAATCCCTGCCCAAAGGCTAATTTCATCAGGTTGGTAGAACATAGGATATAGGGATTTTCTTCTTACACAACCGGTAATGTTTCTCACCTACTTACGTTTCAATGTCTGTCAGACATCTTCCTCCTTATTAGAGCTTCTAACTGGAGTACTGCTTCTCGCCGCTATAAGTAACTAATGTACAGGGCACTTTAGCGGCAAGAACACAATCCCTAACATTTTGTTTTGTCGTCGCAAAAGCGCCAAGGCAATGGAGTACTACGTGATTTGGGCAAAAACTATTCCACACGCTCCCACGAATTATCGTGACGGTTGTGTCTTACCGTCCCCGGGCCTTTCGTCCTCCCCGCCTGCGCAGTCCTGCTGCCCGTCCCCCAGCTGACGGGTCGGCAGACAGGTGACGTTGTCACGGCAGGTGAAGAAGCAGTGCTTGGGTACTCCTGTCAAGGAAAGTACACAACAAGTTATGCTAAGGTCACTGTTCCCAGGCTTGGGCTCGGGAGGGCAGTTTTCAAGAACAAAAATATTATATATGAAAGAGAACAAGCATGTTCACAGTCAAATGTTTAAAAAGGAATCACACTTTGTGTAATGTATATTGTTTATATAAATTGTTTATTTTTCGTACAAGCAAACAGCCCGGCCGGGCCCCTTAGCATATATTTCATCATCATCAACCTTAGCATTTAGATGAGGTCAATTCAGAAAGGGCAGCTGGAAATTATAAGGGCCCAAGACCGTATGAGATGGAGGAATCACATAGTGTGTGCACATGGCCTATTGCCCAAGGGACGGCAACAGGCCTTATCAAAGTAAGTAAGTAAACACTAACACAGTTGATATTTTCTGCTCCTCTAAAGTCACCAGACAGTATTAGTCCAACACGTACCTTCCACACAATCCTCTTCGTCCCTCCCATCCGTACAGTCCTCTAGGTCATCACAGATCCAGTGGTGAGAAATGCAGGGGTCTCCGATATAGGTCGGGCATTCCATCGCACACACTGGTGAAGAAACACAGGGCATGAATGGAAGCGTGAATAAATGAATGAATGAATGTTTATGTAAGATAAGAATCTCTCTCGCAAACTTACTATTGGCTGAATCGTCGGTTCCTCAAAAATTTTACATTAAGTAACACAACAACATTGATATTATTTATCCCGTCAACGAAATATTGGCTACATTTCAGACCCAAAAGGAAGTACAACTGTTACATAACTCGAGAAGCTATGGACCGTTCCATATTTAGTGGATAGTTTCTTTATATCCAGTGACCTACCACCTCGCTATTTGAAAATACAAACCTGGGAGCACGGATAGTACCTTTAAAACATTCTTAATATTTGGCTACTGTCTAATTTGCTGAAGTGAATGTCAGACAGAAGTGTTACCGTCACAGTTTTCCTCGTCCTTCCCTGTGGAGCAGTCTTCCATGGCGTCACAAGCCTGGCTTTCGTGGAACACTTCAGAGCTGACGTCATCTCCACACGGAATGAACTGGCTGTCGATTTCTACATGGCAAACAGGTGAGTCAGACTATTAATGTCAATCTTTCTATCTAATATTTATATACCAGATCAGATCTGTTTAATAGTATCTATTTAATGATAATATGGTATCTATTTATGTATCTATCCATCTGTCTAAGCCCGTGTATCTATCTCCTATGATATCTATTCATCTATCTGTCTTCGTGTGTGTTTGTGTGTGCATGTTAAGTTATGTTCACACGAGCCAATTTTGCAACCCTCCAGGTACTGTTACAATTAAGCCCACTTCTCTATACATAGAGTCTACATATTGGTAGTAGGTGAACCAACGAACCCGGGCATCCGAACACTTCCAACTCTGTAGGCGAGTCCAGGCCACACTCTGCCTCCAGTATGTCTTCGCAGAGAATGCTAAAAACACAGAATGTGACTGGTTAGTCTTTCTTTTTTCCTCTTTTCTTCATCTGTGTTACGTATTAGTCTCCACCAGACTCCTTTGCAGGCTGAATAATTAGTAGAAATCAGCTAAGGAGAACATCATTGGCCAGAGGAGTTGGCCGGCCATAGAGGGTCCAGCTTGCCTGCCGATTTCTACTATTTATTCAGCCTGCAAAGGAGTCTGGTGAAGACTAGTTACGTATTGTTTGCATGTGTACCTGCCAGCTCTTGTTATTGGACTTGTTGGTGCCAGTGTTCTTTGCTTGGCTACATCTTTCTTTCAACTAGAAACACATTATTTATGTTACGAATACAGAATGATATACTGAAATGTCCCAATATATCTCATACTGCCAGCATAACTACAATGGCTATCCTTAATTGTATACACTAACGTGTACCTAATAGCAGCATCTGTTATAATTGTTTACTCTCTTTATGTAGTTTGCCATACATTGTACCATGTGCAATTGTCGTGCAATAAAGTAATCTTCTATACTCTGACAATTTCAAGGAAGGCAGTTTGTTTTGGAATACAAAACACATGCTCAAGACTTCGAAACACTATTCTTAAACAGAGGCAAGTTTGATAATGATCATGTATTTACTTGTCCGGTGCAAACTGATAGATCCGAGGCACACATCCACGGAAAGCCTGACAGAAACTGTCCTTGTTTCGACATGCCCCGTTACAGAAGACATCACACCCAGAACCTTGTAAGAAATACCAACGGTTAGAGTAGTGCCTGTAGTTATATAGCACAAAAGATACTTTGTACTTTCCCCCTTGTCTTAGTAAAGAAATTAGCTTTCGGTGCTGTAGTGAGTGAGCTGTATAATAATAATTATGTAAGTGTTTTTGTATGTGTACAACATAACTCAATGGTTGTGGATGATATTTAGGAGATGGGTAGGGGTCTCAAAGAGGAAGGTCAAGTTCAACAATGTGTCTCCTAGTGGGTATCCACGGTATTGCAGTTAAGCTTCAAAGCTGTTAACTTGTGAGGAATACCAATGTTTAGAGCTTTCAACAATCTAGCCTGTAGTCTCTGCAATGCAAAAGTTGCTTTGTACTTTTCCATTGTCTTAGTAAAGATGTCTTACCATCTATGACGAGGATCTCGACCCTCAGTGCAACCCTCTTGTGGAAGGTGAGTGGGTAGAAGCGAGTGTAGAGTGCATGAACTGGGGTGTCCAGCAGGTTGCGAGCATAGCGATGACTGTCGCTGTTTCCTTGGAACACCTAAAACAAGAACATACATGGTGTATAAGCAATTGGGACAATATCATGTGGAAGGTGTTAATAAACCTGCTGATTTCGTAATCTCTCTCACACTATCTCTGAGGAAATGTAGTGGATGCTATCTGAAATGACAGTTTCTAAATCATATCCAGATGCTTGCTTAACTGTTTTTATTCATGAACTGACCATTGCCTGACCGTCCCCGGTGCCGTGTGTGTACGGTGTCCATGTCTGTCCATCCAGGCTGAACTCCAGCTTGTAGGACGTCACCCAGTAGTCCAGGTTGTACGCCCCCTGGGTGATCACACCGGCGACTTCGTAAAATTTGTCGTGCTTAATCTGGAGTCCGATGGAAAAAAAACATGCGCAGTCAGTCATTAACGCTCTAGATTGACAAATCTCCAAGCAGATGTCTGGAGGAAATAGCATTACGGATAGAACCAGCAGCCAGTTCTAACAGTAACACTTTTGCCGCCTGACATCCACTTGGAGATTAACATTGACATCGAGTCTATCTTTTTATAAAACTTTTTTTCTGTAAGTAGTGGACACTTTGTCCCATGCTTTTTATCTTGGAGACTTCTAGACTGTAAGTGTGATAACATTGGGCCAGAATTACCTGCAGCCACTCATCTGTGCTTTGGCCCGAGTCTGGACCAGGAAACCCGTCAGAAGGTCCCTGTGGCCATTGGCCCGAGTCTGGAGCCGGAAACCCGTCAGGTCCCTGTGGCCACTGGTCCGTGCCCATGTCCGGAAACCCGTCAACAGGTCCCTGTGGCCACTGGCCCGTGCCCATGTCTGGAAACCCGTCAACAGGTCCCTGTGGCCACTGGTCCGTGCCCATGTCTGGAAACCCGTCAACAGGTCCCTGTGGCCACTGGCCCGTGCCCATGTCTGGAAACCCGTCAACAGGTCCCTGTGGCCACTGATCCGTGCCCATGTCCGGAAACCCGTCAGAAGGTCCCTGTGGCCACTGGCCCGAGTCCGGAAACCCTTCAGGTCCCTGTGGCCACTGGCCCGTGCCCAAGCCTGGACCTGGAAACCCTTCAGGGGGACCCTGTGTCGATTGGTCTGTGGTCATGTCCGGAGACCAGCATGCTCCCTGCTGCTGTCCCTTCCCATTGTTCAGACGTGCCTGCCATGGGTAGAAGTCGTCCCCTCGCGACGAAGCGGTCATGTCGAGGTCTGGAATCTTCGGAACCGCAGCTGGATCGTCGGGATTAAGTCCGACACCCAATGTGACGTACTCGCCTTGCTTCAACCAAGTGTTTTCATCTGAAAATGAGTGAAAATATTGCATTAGCTTTCATAACAGTTGTATTCGCATAACATGGCAGTCATAATTTACCATACTTTCCTTGTAAAATGCTGTCACAGCAACACTATTCTTAATAATTCTTCATTGTCCTGTAACTAGACATTGAACTTTTGAGTAGAATGCTTGTCAATCATAGTATGCATGCCACAGTTGGGTCTCCGTACTTGGTACTAGTAATATGGAACTGCAGCTAATCAACAAGCAGATGTCTGGCGCCAAAAGCGTTACGATTAGAACTGGCCATCTAGAGAGAGTCTGCAGTTGCTGAGATCTAGATCTAGATCTAAATGGCCAGTTTTTACCATAATTACCGCCAAGCATCTGCTTGGAGACTAATAACTACAGCAGACTCACCGTTTATGACGTAGACTTCCATCACCATGGCAACCCAGCCTGCATAGCCTGCTGGGTACAGACGGATGAAGCGTGACGTCACAGGAGCTGGGAGAGGACGACTCACTTTGTTGTACCGGTCTCGGTTTCCTTGGAAAACCTGTGCAAAAAAGCATGAATTTAAGGTTCAAGTCAGGTTTAGAACTTACACACAGAAACATTAAATCAAAGAACTATAGAAAAATACAGGGCTACACCAGAACGACTTATGGGATTGTGGTGGAGTGACCAATGATTAAAGGCATCCAATGCAATGTTCAGGGCTAAAAAATGGGTTTCAAAAGTCGATTTTCTGGTCATTGTTTTACTGCACATGCACATGTACTATTTAGTTGAATCAACCCTATTCCATAGCATATCTTTAAGGCAAAGACTCGCTGACAGAAAATGGTTGTTTGTTTCATGATCATAGGCTATAGGGGTTCCGGCTATAGGGGCGGTACCCAAGAAATAAAAAAGGAGACCTCGTAGTATGACGAAAATGTGCTAAGAAATGGCAGTATTAAATGTGAATATCAGAGTCAGATTTCCTCATCCAAAACATTTTTTGTTTTGATGCCCTGAAATTGCAGTGCCCCATAGCGGTCAACAGCTGAGCATATCTGTGTATGTATTTCCCCATCCATACATTGTAAACTTTTCCCACCTGCACATCGTTGCTGTTGCCTGTGTATGGTGCCCACGAAGCACCGTCCATGCTGAAGGCCAGGGTGAATGACGTCACCCAGCTGCCCAGGTCCCAGTTCCAGCCACCTCCACTGATCACCACCCCGGTCACGTCAGTCGTCTTACCAAAGTAAACCTGCAGTCAAACATACAAAAATTTCAACAGAATATACAGATTAATTGTATCAAGCAGGAATTAACATATAGTGGACAAAATTTGTACTAGTAATGATAAACAATAGTGACTAACAGTAGATGATAAATAGAATAGTATTTCTGTAATACATAGACTTTTAGAAAGTGGCATTTCAAATACAACATAGATGAGAATATGAGATACCTGAAGCCATTGGTCCTCCACAGAACGTGGTACCCAGCAGTATCCTGACGTGGTCGTGTACCGAGTCTGGGATGGGCCAAACTCCGGTTTGTACTCGGAACTGCCGGTGACGTCAACATCGGGAATGTACCAACTGGCCAAACCAAGCGGGAATCCTGGAGGTGGATCATCTGTGGAGAAAATGTAAAAAATGAAGACTTTCCTATGATCTACTGATAACAATGATGAGCTTTCCATGCAATCAACAAAGATGGAATTAATGTTATAGAGGTGTAGAATTATTCTAACTTATATTTAAGAACTGCACAGTTTCTTCTACTTCTTATACTTGTGTATCCCATCTGTAGGGAATGAAAGTGTTGCGTTTGTGAAGTCCGTTGTTTTACACTAAAACACCTGTCACATTGGTGTGTTACGTCGAAGGGCGGTTATACCAACTATACTGACACAGATACAGATACACATAGCCGAAGATAGCCTAAATATATGATCAGACTGCTCCCAAACATCAGCTAACATTGGTTGTTTGGTGGTTCGGGGGAAGGTTGAATGTGTGATAGAATGATGTGACAGGTGGATGGAGAGAAGTAATCTAATTACCTCCACAGTCCTCATCCTCCCTTCCACTGCAGTCCGTCAGGTCGTCACACAGCCGAGACTCTGACAGGCAGGTACCATCCGCACAGGAGAACTGCCCAGCACCACAACCTGTGCAGGAGTAGTTTTGTGAGATTAAACAAACTTCTGATCCTAAAACATGTCATCTCTGATACTAAAACCAGCCAGACTAGTATCGGGCCATTTGCCGGTTCCCTTCAGTAGACAAAAGCACTACATATGCCCACACTCCCCTCAGGCTCAACTCCCCAGCAGTGGCAGGTAGGCCGTATTGCTTTTTGCTTCCGAGCGGCCAGATACTAGTCTGGCTCTCAGGGTACTTTACTACAGTTATCTACCCATCTGTGGGTTTAGTTTGATAGGGATACGTGAACTGACTCCTACCTCCGGCTGTACAGTCAATCTCGTCCTCTCCGTTGGAACAGTCCTCCACCCCGTCACAGGCACGGTACCTCGGCAGACATCCCCCGTCACACTCCAACTGGAGATCATGGCAGGGAGCTGCAAGCAAACAATTCATTAGGATAACTAGCCTCTTCCAAAGAGTAGAAATTTGCCAAGTAGACAGATAAGATACCAGTGGAAACTTGCCAGGAGAATTGGACTATTGCACATGTACTCCTTAGCGGACCAACTACCCTGGCATTTTATTTGAAAACCTGTTGTCAGAAAAGTTATTTTTGACCTGAACCCGCAAAAACAAAGTAAAAAGATGGACAAACATATCAACAACCTACCAGGGCAGTTCTCTTCGTCTGCCCCAGAAGAGCAGTCCTTGTCTCCGTCACACACCGTGGCGTTCTGGATGCATTCGCCGCTTTCACACTGCCACAGTCCCTTCTCTGCACAGGTCTCTGAACAAACGCAGTTTGGACTAAAACGTTAGCTTTTTGGCTTATCAATCCTAACCATATAATTGACTAATGAAATATTGGAACGGAATATAGTTCCTTTGTAGTATATCTCAACGAGAGAATTGTTAAGCAAATCTACAACCCCATTGCATGCAGACATCACTATGTTCAGCATAAATTTGCAAGCTACAGAATATCGATTTTACAGTGTGTGTGTGTGTGTGTGTGTGCGCATGTGTGTGTGTGTGCGTGTGTGTGTGTGTGTGTGTGTGTGTGTGTGTGTGTGTTAGGGGTGGGGGGTACACATTGCACCAAAATGCCTATCATTCAAGCCAAACAGAAGATCTTCTTGTCAACCAATCATACCATATACAGGGTGATATCGCTCCTGTGTACCCATACATCGACTGACTCTCAGTATTCCATGTAATTTGCATAAAACTCACACCCAGTATTCCATGTAATTTTCATAAAACTCACGACACAGCATCTCGTCCGAGCCGTCGTCACAGTCGGTGACACCATCGCACACTCCAGACGGTTTGACACAGCCGCCGCTGTCTTCACATCGGAACTCCATACTGGTGCACACTGTATAACGGCATGGTTTTCATATATAGATCATGTAAGCCATTACAAAATTGCCGGCAGACGCAAACGCAGGCCGACGTTCACATCCCCATCAGTAGACCCTAACATTTCCAACATTCCCAGGCACTCAGGACTGCATACATTTCCGCATAAGTTCTGTTTCTTCACTTCCTTGTACGTACTCCTCAGCGGATTAACTCCATCTATCTATCCATCAACCCATCTACCAATACATGTATACCCATCCATCCATCCATCCGTCCTATGTCACCTCCTGTTCGAAGACAGACAGTAACATTAAAAGTACGAAGCTGATGAATTCTTGGAATCGAAAAAAAACACAGATAATTTTGCACGTGAAAAACGTGATTTCAGATCAAATCTAATTATAGCATTTATAACTCTATACATCTATTGTATTGTTAGTAGTAATGACTAGCACTAGTAATACTACTGACTGGCACTAGTGAGAGTTGCCAAGTCATATGCATAACATACAGCTCTCTCCCCAAGTTTTGTATGATCAGATGTAGGAGGAAAACGTGAGCTTACTACAGTCACTCTCGTCAGACCGGTCTGGACAGTCGGCAACTCCATCGCAGCGCCTCGTCTCATTGATGCAGAAACCGAGTCCACAGAAAATGTTTGGCAAGGGGCAGTCATCCGGTGTGCAAAATCTCTCGTCTGTATCGTCTACTGGACAGTCCACGTTACCGTCACATTGTTTTTCTGGAGGGTAACACGTTCCGCTGTCACACTTGAGAAAGCTGTTGGGGCAATTTTTGCTCCGGCAATCTTTCTCATCTGAGCCGTCCGGACAGTCAATCTCAGCGTTACATTGGAGCAGTTGATCGACACATAGTCCGTTACTTTCACACCTGAAATCCTCGGCGTTCGGACAATCTTTGCTCCAGCAATCTTCCTCATCTGAACCGTCCGGACAGTTAACGCTACCGTCACAATTCCACCAGATAGAGACACATGCTCCACTACGTTCACACCTAAAATTCTCGGAGTTGGGACACTCTCTGCTCGAGCAATTTTCCTCATCTGAACCGTCCGGACAGTCGCGCTCAGCGTTACATTGTTGCCATCGTTCCATACATACTCCGTTACTCACGCACTTGAAATCGTTGGGGTCTGCACACTCTTTGCTCAAGCAGTCTTCCTCATCTGAACCGTCTGCACAATCACGCTGAGTGTTACATAGGAAATGTCGATTGACACATAAACCGTTACTTTTGCACCGGAAATCGTCAGGTCTGTAGCACTCTTTGTTCCAGCAATCTTCTTCGTCCGAGCCATCTAGACAATCAACGTAACCGTTACAGGCGAAAGGTGCACGGATGCACTGCCTGACACTTTCACACTTGATATCGTCAGGGTAGGGACACTCTCGGCAACCCTCGTCCGATCTGTCTGGACAATCCACATTACCGTCACACTGCTTAAAGCGGGAGAGACATCTTCCATTACCTGTACACCTGAAATCATCGGAGAAGGGACATTCTATCCTCCAGCAATCTTCCTCATCTGAACCGTCTGGGCAATCATTGTAACCGTTACAGAGGACCCAAGACGGGAGACATTCTCCACTACCTTCACACTTGATATCGTCGGGGTCGAGACAATCAGTGCCGGCAATGCCAGCGGGGGCATAGCCGATGGACAACAGGCATACAAACAGTAGCAAGCCGGGCGCCATGGTTGTCTTCCCGGGGAGAAAGGTCGTTGGCACCGCGTGTGCTGGGCCTGGTACAGTGGCGTGCAGCACGAGGGCTATCAACATTGTTGAGATACCTTAGCGCAGATCTGGACATGCCTGAATTTACGAGTTTGTGGAGCTTAATCTTCTTGCGACCAGACCGGTACCAACTCAGCAGTGTGCGTGACAATTCAGGGGGAAGGTATCCTTGATTACCTGCATTCTTTGGTATTTTATGTAATTGTCGACCAAATTAATGAATTACTCCTTCTCATGTAATGAAATGTACTACGCATTTCCTTGTGTTTGAAATGTCTTACTATGCTTCATCCACGGCTTGACCCAGTAGCTTTATGCCAAGCAGTTCAATCCACTTATAAATGCTCGGCATTTTAATGTATATATTTTTTGTATTCTGAATGGAGATAACCTGAAAAGTTCAAACCGTATATCATCTATTCATTTCTCACAGGTGAGGCAGTAAAAAGCAACAATCTCCTCATATATTTCAAATATTTAATCATCATGAAGTCCGGTACCTGAGGCTGCAAAACAAATTACCCGTCGCATAGCCTCGATTGAAGTGGCCGGAGAATGAAAGCGTGAGTCTTCAGAACAGGTCTATTCTGCAGTACTAAAAAGCCACATCGAGGAGCCTGCTAAGGAGGCTACCATTTTTTACCATCGTGCCAGCTGATAAGAGATTTTCGCAGAGCACGCAATGTGTATTTATGTTTGAGGAAACCTGAGCAGCAGTTTGCATCGGCGGCGGTGTAAGATACAGCACAAATCAGCAGCAGAATGGGAAACCTGTCGACCACCAGAACTTCATTGGTGTTGCTGATGGGTCTGTGCTACTGCCTGTCAGGTGCACTTGCTCTAACAGGTGAGCAACAAGTTATGCCAACTTGTGGAAAACAAGTCTACGAAAGTCACGCCTTTCGCACTGGTGTATCAGTGCTGATTCAGCGGTCAAACTCCGCCAGCACTGGACGCCCAGTGAAAATAGTCGAGCACCGCTTTTCGGTTTTCCAGTGATGAAGCTTTCTCAGAGCTGGATTCTATTCAGCCCGTTTTCTGAACAAAAAAATTCATCAGCACTCCTTTACCAGTGCTCTATGTCAACCGAGCTCTCGGTTTCCAGTGCTGACGCCAGTTTTTCTGTTGATATCCCCTCAGCACTGGAAGCCAAGTGCCGGCGACCGTTCAGCGCTAGAACCGAGTGCTCAAAAGGAGAGGGCGTGGTTTTCGTAGTTTTGCTTGTGGAAACCCGGAGTTATATCCGAATTGGATATGCTCTTTGTTCAGACGGTGTTACACTGTCAACGAAGTTCAGTCGAATTTGTTGCTCGTCGGATCGCGATGAATCGAGCGTATCCTTACCTGAAAATCAACCATGTTACATTTAACGGGGCATGTGAATATCGCTAGATATCATATAGCCTGGGGCCGGCCCAGTCTATCGCGGTTGGGGCGCGGGCGGGTTCTCTTCGGGGCCCCCGGGCTGCAGAAGCTCTTCCCCGCCCGACTCAGCTAGGTACCGGTTTCCTGGTAGGTTTTGCAAACTCTCATAATCATAGGCGTAACACTTCTACCGGCCGGGCTTTCTGTTGAGCTGGACGGGGGGAAACTATTAGAGCCCCGTAGGTAACCTGCCCCAACCTCGATAGACTGGATACCAAGCTAGATATCATATGGTCATCGAGAAAGCTCCTGGTGTATTCCGAAAACGATTTTGAGCTTGCAGGTTCGTAGGTTTAACTCTTTTCCTGGTGTGTAACTCTGGCTTTATACATATATTAATGAAACTTTGTTTCTGGCAGGCGGTTGGGTGGAGACCGACCCTACATGGGTGACACCGGGCGAATGGGAGGGCGAGGACGGCATCCGGCGGGTTGCCGGCTACGTCCTGGACGCCAACTTCAAGACGACATGGAGACCTGGAGATGAGGAGGCCTCCTGGCGGCTGACGTTTGATCTGCAGGCGCCCATGACGCTCTCCAGGATCCATATATGGTACAAGGGCAGCAGCGTCGACGTAACAGTCCTACGCTCGACTGGGCGAAGTTGGGCCGAAGTGGATCACAATTGGGGTCAACAAAACAGGGTTCTGTCACCTCTAAACGGAATCGATCTAAGTGACAACCCCAAGACAAAAGGGGTGCCACTTAACGAAATTGATCTAAATGGACTCCTCAGCCCCAGAGCCCAGCTTTGGCGCCTAGAGTTCCCGCGTGAGAGTCAGGCAGAAATCATCGAAATCAGCGAGATCAGGTTTTTTCAGGGTAAGTGATCACTACTGCATGACTGTATAGCGACAAAATTTTGCTGCAATTGCTGCCACCACGTTGTCAGCAATGATCGTCTCTTGTAAATAGACCTGTATATATTTTGTTATATTCGTGCAGCTTGCTCCCAAGTTGAGAGGACGGTCTGCACAGACGGAGACTGTGACGTGCATGAGGTGATCTGTGACGGCATAGTGGACTGTGATGATGGGAGCGATGAAAACAACTGTGGTAAGGCACGAACTAGACGGGGGGGGGGGTATATGCCTGCTTCAACCAAGCTTCAAGGCAATAAAAAGGGTTTAAAAGAAAAGAAAAACTCCGAGAACACGACAAAAACAACCTGATCTACACCCTTCCTCCGTGAACTGGCGAATTGTTGTTATTAATCTAGGAGAAGTAAGGGATTGAAATTTCTCAATGTGAAGACTATGTGAAGTAAAGGTGTTATGTACCACTTGCATTCTATTCTATGGACATATGTTGTGTTGACAATATTCTTCTGAATTTCTGTCATCTTCACTACAGATGAAGATCTAGAGACGTGTCCAAATGGAATCACCATCAGGGAGACACAAGTCTGTGACGGTACAGACGACTGCGGAGACAACTCAGACGAACAACACTGCTGTAAGTTTGGACACAAAAACTTGATATGCATTGTTTTCTTACAATATGTCGTTATTTGTTCCGATGCGTTTCGATCCACAAATCTTTTTTTTTTCAAAATAGAAGATTGTGTAAGGATCTGTAATATCTACAAATATGTAGTTATGATGTTTCTACTTAATATGTTTTATGCAGGCGAGCGCCAGGACAAGACATCATGCAGCAATGGACAGTGTATACATTCCCAAAAGGATGCGATACAACC